TGGCGTCATCTTACAAGATCCTTCATTGCTCGTCTCCAGGGCTCAGGACAGTTGCTAGCAAATACAGTCATCCAGTTGATGTATTCCGAGCCAATGTGAAGCAAGTTCGGGTTTTATCCACAGTCCGTATCCAGTTACCATCTGTGAATTACAAGAAGTGTCCAGTACCATAAAATTCCTCACTTCTGTCGATCTATTTCTTACAGAGTAAAGAACCACGTGGTCGACCCTGCAGCTCGTCTGGAGGAAATTCCCAGCTCCAACCTACTGATGAGCTGTTGGATGGAGTAGTTTCACCTTCACCGACATTCACAACTCTAAGGAAACCAAAAGCAACTTCCAATGGTTGCATGGTTAACTTACTCATGTAGTTTCAGCACTGGGATGGTGTATATGTCCAGCTTCGCCCTTCTCTTTTCACCGGACAGGGTAGACATGTTTGAAAACCCTTCTCATCATGTTCGATGAGAGGCTGACTTTGACATCTGAGATGATTAGGGGATAATTGTGGGTTCAGAAGTTGTAACAGAGCAGATCCTCAATTTCTCAATCAATCTCTCCAAAAGGATGAACTGTCACCAACTTCAAGATTCCCTGGCGCAGAAACCCAGCATATCGATTCGACTTCGAATTCCTTCACGACGCTATATTCGATCGCCCAGTGAACATCGACCGAGTTGTGATGGTGTAGATTGGCATGACTCCATTTCAGTTCACTCTTCTGAGACTCAGAGGTCAACGAGAAGCTTGACAAGCTAGAACACAGTTCTGCTTGAGACGTGTAGTTCAGCTATAGGAATTATGCGAGCTGCACCTGTCTGTGCATCCATCCATCACCTGGGAACGTTGTGACTCGGCCTTGTTGTCAGATTGTAAGTTTTATAGTAACACTGATCTGGTGCTTCCTGGTCTTTCGACTGTATCTTAAAAGATGTATTTCTCCGAGGATCCTACAATCGAGGGTACGACGATAGATAATTAGCCTTGAGGGTTGTCATTTCGAAAGTCTAAAATTATCAGAATGTATTTTGCAAACCAGATGGAGATCATGAACCACGCTTTTTCGTTGAAAGCTCTCGTTGCGTTTTCAGACATTCAGATCGAGTTTTCCCAGTTGTCTTCATTTAGAATGAGAAATACATGCGGGGATAATCGCCTAAATGTCTTCGTTAATTATCTTAACATCGATGTATACACGTGATTTTTATACATAGTTTAAATATCCAAAGGTGAACATTCGAAACAATATGGATTAAGCATCCATATTCTGTCTACAAGTATAAAAGCATTGGCTATAGAAAGGTTTCATATAATTATATTGTGTTGTTTACAGTCCTATCAATGCACATCATATCTAATTATTATCAATGTAGAAAATAATCTGTTATATATTATGTTTTGTGTTTTGAGATTTTTGAATGGTTCTGGCACTCAAATCATCTTCACTTTAAGTTCCTTATCCCTGGCACCTTCATTGTTGAAATCTTCTCATTGAGCATAGATCATGATCCAGTCTTCGTCGCCCATGTCGGATCTTGCTTTTGTGTGCACGTCGGGAATTCCTGAAATGCCGATCGCAACAAACGAAATACGTTCGACCATCTGAAGATGGATCGCGGGTATCTTGCGCTATATCACCAGACGAGGGCGTCAAAATCTCGAACCACAATACAGTGAACTTCATTTTGAGGGAGGGCAAAGAGGAAGAAGGACCTTGGCTGGAGATAGCTAGCACAGGATACAATCTGTCGGATTGGTGCGTTCATCAATTCCAACAGCAAAACTACAAATAAATATATCAATACATGACCACAAGATACAGCTCTTGGCTGCTCACTTGGTCTACAATACTCAAACACAATTCTGTCTGAAAAGAATAATTCATTATTTGGCCTTGTGATAGGAAGATTGTGTTTTCGAGTGGGGAAGGTAACGCGGACCTCACCTTGTCGTTTGCATCAGATTAAGATTGAGATTAAGCCAATATATTTACGGCAGTGTGATACACAAGCAACAGCCTGGAGTGTGACACCGAGGAAGGATAAAATTTCGGCCTCTTATGTGGAGGTCAGCTGGATGTGACGGTTACTTCATTCTGGAACCGATTCTGAAATATCTCCATCAGTTGTGTACTTCTTTGACCAAGGTTTGCAGCCAGGTAAAAGCTCTAGAATATCGTTTTAATGGAGGAAGAGGATTAGCTGGTGGATTTCTCTTTCTTGTCCCTGGTAAGGACATGATTTTGATGAAATGACGCAGGGAATTTATAGTGTGATGAAATTCCATCGCTTTGGGTACAAACAAAAAGCCAAACCAGGTTCAGAAAAGGTGGAGGCAAGAGGAAAGGAAGAAGCTAATCTCGCGTAATAAATCACGATCACGTCTTGTACATAGAGATCATCAGTATGGGTGACAACACAACTTCAAGAACAAGCATAATCGTTGAAAGCTATCTCGTCACACGCCCATGTGAACCTGGTAGAGGCATAGGCCTATATCAAACTCTCTCTTATAAGGTAATATTTTGAAATAAAATTTAACTACTCGCAGTTTACATCTCACTTCAGAGAAAGCTAAAATTTAGGCTTAATACTCATCAACATCTAGATTATAATTATCGTACTTCCTTCCACATCATTGAGACCTTCATCTCTTAGGAAACAATTACATAACTAGAAACAAACATCAACAAAATTTACAAATTAATTTTCTCAATTTGATGAAAATGATGATGAAACAAGTTATAATTTCATCATCATTATAATGAAATGTCTGCCACATGTTATTATCTTCGCCTTGCAACTATCTCAATGTTTTAAAAGTATTTAAAGGTAGTTATTATGTTTAAAATGTGTTAAAAAATGAGACTCCCCTAGAATGTTATATAATCTTTAAAAAAATAAGTTTAGTTTTTGCTCTTCACATCAAAGTAATACAACTTATGAAAGTGATAAATCTAGAATGAAAAATTTGTGATACACGAATCACTTCTAAGATCCTCTAACGATTGAATGAAATGTTTCAAATACGTTCAGAGAAGAAATTGTATATTTGTATGTGTAGTTTGATGCAAGATACCCAAATAGTTATTACAGAAAATGCAAAATATCCTTGAGAAAGCTTTGTGGATATGAACACTAGAAATTTCAAGAAGGAAGAAATTTGAAGGGTGTGATTTAGTTGCCATGAAGTTTAACTCAGCATATAACTTTTTGATATGCATCGCAACAACTTATGGTCGTCTCCGGCTCCATGAGTAATTTAGTTTAACTTGGCTCTTAGCTTAATACAGTTGTCTACCGATCATAGTATGATTTTATTTCCTCCCTCCCTTTTTTTTGTTTTGAGTTGCACACTTTCAAAGTGTAAGAACAAGCATTTAGCTGTCTACGTGAACGTTGTAGGGGATAGCACATGCCCTTCCGAACCATTGAAAGTTTACACACATCATGAATGTGCTTTTTATGTTTTTTCCTTCAGCATTTAAAGCGGAGTGTATTTTATTCAATTCGGTGTAATATTGTTACGAAGGAAATTGATTACAAATTAGAGGTTGAAATATGAAAGAAAACAAGCCCCCTTATATGATTTGATTATAATAGTGTTACAATAATAGATAAAGAGACACACAAGTCACATTTTCTAAGCTCTGATGACAAGTAATTTGTAGCATCTTCCGATATCGAACAAAATAAACATATTCTTATGTTTTTGAATTTAGACTAAAAGTTTAAAATTGGTTGTTCGTATTATAAGTAGAATGGGGTTGACTTACCAGCAAGTAATTTAAACATTTTGAAATGAATGAGTAACTTTCGATTCTAACGCATAAACAAATTTTGTAAAATTTAAAATTATTTACTAATATGAGATTTTATAGTTTATAAAATTATTACAGTTTTGACTTTTAGCGTGTTAGTACAATTAGAAATCTTCAATAGATAAAATTCTCAATTTAGTAAGAACAACGGGTCGCCGGAACTCATCTCGACGGCAGTTCACGGCGTTGGTGCACCGGGAATCCGTCGAAGTTTCACGGCGGCCATGTTTCAAAGCTTCTGCTTTGGCGGAGGAGGATGTCACGAATCAGTAAATCTGACGACCAAGATATGTTTTCATCCATTGGGTTTTTCATCGGACGGTGATGACGATCGCTCTGCTGCTTCTGGCCCAACGCGAAGGAAAGTACTTCGAGATCGGCTACTTTGGCGGTAGACCTACTTCAACCCGCGTCTGCCAAACTAGATACAGTGGCTAGGCTGCGAATTATGTATATCACTATATTCTGCAATCGTTCTCAACCAATCATGTCATTTTGAGATTGGTAAACTCTCATACTTTAGTTTACAGTATCTACTTCTTCTGTGTTAAAAAGCAACACCAAATTTGCAACGATTTGCTTCAATTATGTGAAGTTGGCTTGTACATTAAGCGGCATATACTTGTATTGATTTATGAATTTGATAACTTAAAATATAATGAAAAAACTAAAGGTTTCATACTTTATATTCAATTGAAAAGTGTTTGTTACATAAGTTTTACAAAAGAAAACACATAAGTGTTTTCTTTTGTTTAGAACTACAATTTCATATCTTTATATCATAGAATCAACTTGTAATCTTATTTATCATGTTATTGATTTGTTATTTGTACTCATCGTTGTATATTTAGAAAATTTAATTGAAATTTTATCAACATATAAGAAGAAGTTTTCCGAACTTTACTTTCCGAACTTATCATATGACTTATTATTCTATAGCATGCATAAACTTTGATGTGAAACGATGAGAGTGCACAGACACACCGTTGTGAAATTATTGCTGAATGTGTGAGCCAGCTTTCTTTGCAAAGGGTTTGGAGAATGAATTAGTTCAATTGGTATATTATAAAATATAAACATTACGCTTGTTAGCGAACGAAGTTCGATTGGCTGTCAGTGTGAGCCCGCGGGCTTCTTCGCGGGTTTCTGCGGAGCGGAGAGAAGTTCGAATTGCGGTCGGAAAGGCGCCGCCTGCGACTGGCGATCGACCGGCAGGTCGGCCGGAGCGCTCGGTGTACGTCGCCAGCGTGCAGCGGCTTGCCGCCGATTGCTCGCCGAGTATCGACGAACGATCGACCGATCGATCTCCCTTTGAAGCTCTGAAGCTCGAGGTGCTCCGAAGAAATCCGTCCCACTGTAGCCCGACTGCGCTGATCGACTGCCCGTTTCCTCGAGCATTTTCCCGGTCGCTCGAGCAATTTTGTGCCTTGGGCGATTGGCGATCTCTGCAGATGCTCGGATATGAATCTGTGAACAAATCTGGACGACTGGACCTTCTCTGGGCGGGGCGCTAGCGTAGAAGCAGGTCATCTTTCTCTTCTCTGCAGGCGTGATTTTAGTTTATGGTTTATTTTGTGTTTGTGTGTTTTCTGACGTGAATCCAAACGCCAGGAAAAAACCTGTTGAATTTCTTTTGAATTAATTTTTTCTAAATCCTAGAAAGAAGATGGAGTTTCTGCATCGTCGGAGCTTCTTTGTGCGTGGTCCCTGCAGTTTTCTGTGAAGTGGATTGCATAAGCTTGTCCGCCGATAGAAATATGAAGGGCGCCCTGACCACCATCTGGCTTTTTTGATGATTGTGAACTCGTAATCCATCCGTATTTCGAGGTCTTGTTACTCAAATCGAACGCGTGCATGCCGCTTCGAATTGATTTTTGAGTCACTTATGTATCAGATCTTTCAGTTGAAGGATCTGGAAATTTATGAGTGATTGCGGAATAAGCCCCGACTGCCCACGGGTTGCTGTATCTCCTATGGTCTGGATAATCCACTATGACAGTGTTACCTTTGTGATAATTGGTTGTAGTGAGCTGGCTTCCTTAGGGATCTGTACCGTAAGACTGATTCTGTCTCTGTATCAGTGGAATGGCAGTGTTTCTATGTCTCTTTTAATCGGAATTGTCTCTATTGAGAGAGGATAAGGCTCAAAATTAACCTCCCATTACTCGTTTATGATGTGGTGCCCTTGCAGGTTAGCCATCTACAAAGATGGCTGTAGTTGCATCTCATCACATAGCGCAGAGCATAACTGCTCACGCGTGGAATGCTACACTGTCAAGTAATGCTCAAAATCTTCTCCACGAAGAGTTGAATTGAAGTATTTATTCGTGATTTAGTCGTGCCTGCGTTGGTAGGGTTGATATTATCATCATAGCGGAGAAAATTTTTACTTCATTTTCTTCTCCAGCTCAATTCTGGCGTAAGCTCAGCCTGTGGTTTCTCTGTTTTCCTTTTGCAGTGATTGCACTTTGTCCCAACACTAGTGAAGTGCACATTTATACTGGTACACCTGCCCCAGATTCCGTATGGGAGAAAGCCTTTGTTTTGCAAAAGGTGCGTATCCACAGGGTTGGGAGCTAGTTGTATGAGCCAACCGCAAGTGCCAGGACTAACATATGCGTATCCGGGCATACCAATACCAATCCTGGAATTATAGTCCCAAAGCTTGAAATTCCGGTCCAAGACGTAATTGTCTGCGAGGCTTTAATACTACCAGTAAGCTTGGGGGTTTTTTAACCAACTTCTACTTGTGACACACTCACATATGATTTTGAAACAGTAAGAGGTCGCAAAGAAATATGATCGATTCTTTTTAGGCGTCTGGAAGAGGACTGTCTGACCTCAAAGTTATCTTTGTTAAGGAGTTACTTTGTTAATCACTTTCAAACTAGACACTTCTGGCCGTCTACTGAACTGTTCCATTTTACTTCTACTTGTCTTCAAAGGTAAGAAGTGGAGTGGCGCAAATTACAGAAGAAATTTAGCTCTAAGGCTGGTAAATGAATTGTGGAAACATATAGGGGACTAAGACATTGTTTCTTCAATCTTGTGTATGCAGCACGATCAGTTGGTGTCTGGGATTGATTGGGCACCTATTTCTAACTACATAGTTACATGCTCACACGACCGAAATTCGTAAGATACATTGTGAACCGTGGCCAAATTCTTCCTTTCTCAATTTTTGCTATTTTTTTCACTTGGACCGCGAAATGATTCATAGTGCGTGATGAGTTCTTCCATTTCTGCTTGTAGAAGCTTGCTGAGATTTCTGTGTTTGGCCTGTGTCAATCTGCAAGAAGTTTTCTTATGATTTCTGGTGGCACCATAGTACAGCTTTGAAGATTAGAATTGGTGCGTGGCACATGTCTGCAGTTACGTGTGGAGTTTCGACGGTACTCAGTGGCAACCAACACTTGTGATCTTGCGTTTAAATCGTGCTGCTATCTCAGTCGATTGGAGTCCGAAAGGTCCTGCCGATTAACCTTTTATATTGATTCTTCGTTCTGGTTTTGCTTGGAGTATACTGAGGGTTGTACTGTGGATAAAAAGTTAAAGAATCACCTTGTTTAAATTTTCCTCAGAGATTTCACACACGATGCTTAGCTTTGACCTTGGCACTCGGAGATGACTTTGTTCAGCACAGGGACTTAATGAGAGGCACATGTCTTAAATTATCGAGATTGTTGTCTGAGTGCCTCACAGAAAACAAATTTGTGGTTGGAAGCGGTGCTAAAAGTGTGTGCGTGTGCTACTACGAGGCAGACAACAACTGGTGCGATGATTTATTGTGACAATTTTCGATTTTGTGTGTGTGATTCATGGTCTACATTACTGCCTTCTCCTTTGGAAGTTTCAAGTGATGCGAAACTCACAAAGCAGGCTGCAGTTTTTTCCAAATTTTTCTGCATTCCGCTTCTTTTTCATGAATCGCTTTTACATGCTTTATCTGGTTGATCTTTTACTACCTCTCACAAGTCTTGTGTTGTACTGTCCAGGTGGGTCAGTAAAATTATCAGAAAGAAGCATGGTTCCACCGTCACTGGCGTTGCCTGGCATCCAAATAATGTAGGTGTTGTTGTTTGCTTCTGGCGCGTACAAATAACTTCCACCAGTCTTCTACATTTAATTGTTGACTTTTTATTTCTTTTGTCGTTGACAGCCTTGGACGGGTTAATTCGAGTCAACTGAATCTCTTTTTCGCACCGAGTAGTGACTTTCATTTTGGAACTGAATTTAAGCAGTAAAGGTCATCCAAGACCCCAACACATAGAAAAACCAGTGTTTTTTTTTTTTTGGGTCTTTGCGGGACCAAAGACCATATCTGAGCGCTCATTGAATGATCTTTGCATATTGATAGTCGTCCTGGCAAGAGTTCCTCTCTCTAGTATCCGTACTAAGCACTAGACTGACGATGATCATTATCTTCCTGACCCCAGGCGGTATTCTGCTGAGGATAGAACAGTGTACATAGGGGTATCATCCTACGTGGTCTGAAGTCCTTGTCCTTAACTTCTGTGGGTTTGGATCTTTCGATCTGTTGTTCTACTAGTGGAGTCCATATGTACGCTAATTTTTGTCGATATGTTGGCGGAACAGCTGTTGATAGCTACAACATCAACAGATTGCAAGTGTCGAGTGTTTTCTGCCTACATCAAGGGGGTCGATTCTAAGTGAGTTTGTTGACTTCTTGTCAGACACTTCGAGAAAGAATGCTTTAGAAATAAACCGTGTTTGGCTGCGAATTTGTCTTATGACTTAAAGCTTTCCTAACTGATGTGAGCTGCAACAGTAAGTTCTTCTGCTTCAACTTTCTCCTTACCGTCTCCCCTTGCTCGGACTCGCAGGATAAATCCAGGGACGACTTTTGTTGATACAAAGTTTGGGGAGGTAAGTCAAGGGTGTTTTGCAAGGGGAGTTGTGATGAAATATAGATGCGTCAGCAGCCTGGTGGACTTCGTTGCAATTTTTTTTTTAAACTCTTTAAATTCTTTTTTATTTTTCACTAAATTACCAGGTTATATAGTGAAAAAATATTCCAATTACATTTTACAATGTGGATCTCGAAATGTGTTGATGCCCTTTGCATAAAACTTCGTGCAGCAAGTGTTACAACTTGACCTAGCATTCGGATGGAGCTTTGGAGTAAAATGGTCTCCCACTGGTAACAGTTTGGCATATGTGGGTGAGTATTGTATACTGCAACATCTTGCAATATTTTCTTGAACACTTTTGCACGAAAGAAAACACCAATGCTGCCTGGGAGTTGCTTGTTCTCTTAGTAGAGCATTTGTCTCCCTTCAGCAGATTTCAGTTTGTTCGTGCGGCTCATTGACTCTCTTATATCTGGTGCTCACGTGTGAAGGACATGATTCGACTTTGCACATAGTCAGTAACATCGGGCCGACTCCATCTCATCAGACGATAAATCTTCGACAACTGCCCCTTCGTGATGTAGGTCAGCTTTTTCACCTTTAATTTTTCTCAGGTCCTTCTATTGACAGCCGGCCTGGTTTTTAAAAGAGGCCTTTAGCGCAGTATGCTTCCATCATGTCATCAGAAAGCTCCGCGTTTGTGTAATTAGTTAGTCAACGTGTCCGTTTGCATGGGCTGTGCGTAGAGGTTGGTGTCTTGTATCTGACTGTTTAATCGTCTTTGATTCAGATTTTGTTTCTCTCAGAAACTAGACTTGTCGGAGGAGGTTTCGATTGTAATCCAATGCTCTTCGAAATTGATCCCAAAAGAGGAGTCTGGTATATTTACTTCCCCTTTATTCAATATTCATTCATTCAGATTTATCTTTTATGGTATATATATGCGCTAATATATACGTTGTATTTCTTAGCATATGACTTTTAAATTTTAGTTTAGATGCCTTCTTATGGTTGGAAAATTCTTCACTGTAGGACTTTTGTGAAATTTGTGGACGAGGCAAAGTCATCCACTCATGACTTGAAGTCGAGTACTTTGGTATGTTGCTTAACGTTCTACGGATACAAGTGTACTTCCTGCTTTCTTTTACTTCTTTGATGGGTAACTTATGAATGACCTTAGACAGAATATGCTATAATATCTCGATTGGCACTCTTTCTTAGTCGATATAGATGTAGAAGTCTTCTGAGTGGATGAGGTTGAGATATGTCGAATGCATATTTCAATGCCTGGTTGATTGGACCAGGTTTTATGGTGATTGTATCTAGCCTTTCCAGGGCCTGTGTATCCGTCAAGGAAGGACGAGAACTTGACTTCTGAACCGCTTTCTGCAGTTCCTAGAAGCGATGGGAAGGTTTCACGGACAGACCAGGCGCGGTACTCATGAAGCTTTTGAAACATCCCGGGCATCTGGCTTGGCTCATGACAATTGCATAACGTATGTTTTAGTTTGCGTTCAAACTTCTAAGACGTGTTGAAGAAAGAGACATCATTTCTAGTTTGTGTCTTATCTGTTATTAGCATTGATTCTCATTTATAGGATGTGCAAGTTTGAACATCTGTTGTATACGTCTACAGTACTTTCACTACTATACCAGCAGTACTCAAACCTTCTTGTCTACATTTTTTGCTTGTTACGCAGGTGTATTGTCCCTCTGATTTCAGCCGGGGAGGTAAATGGACAAGAAACAGGGGAGAAAGTTGTGCAAGCATTTAGTACATCAGGTTTGTTTTTACGAACTAAGCTTTTAGTGGTGGTTTAATAGCTGGATATTGTGCTTTCTTGCAGAAGTTAATATCTAAGATATACTGTCTCATGATAAATATGGCAACTGTGTTTGTGAGCTTTCTGTAGATGCTTCAGTATCAATGGGATGCAGTAGTTGTACCACAATTCTTTAAAATATGACGTCATTCGATGCTTGTAATTTACATTTCCGCTGTGGCTACCTCAATGATCCCACAGGTGTCGATGGGAGACTGATCATTTGGAGTTTCAGCAACATAACTGAGCTTCTAGCAAAACTTCAAATATGATTTGAACCTCAAGTCTCCCTCGACAGTGACAAAACTGCATGGAATGTGGGAAGGAATATTTGGAAGCTCAAATCCAGTTTCTCAACTATGTAGGCCAAATTTATCTGTCTGAGTAGTAATTTTTTCGTGAGTTGGAATTCTGTCAAATTATTGTTGACAAGCTCCACATTACCAAAGTGTGGAATATAGGGAATAGACTGCAGTTACTGTAAATTTATCCAGAAAGTTGTGCAGGATTGAGATAGAGATGATTGAAGAATTCATTATTATCAACGGAGATGTTGAAGGTATTCATTGTTTTCGAGTTATCATGTCTGATATGAGCTTCGACTAGCAGAGATTAGTTCTTCATGTGTGTTTTCCTCTGAATATCACCCTCTCTCCATTCATGATCGAGTCCATGGTGGATGTATGTCTTGTGGGGTATTCGCTACACCTTCGGTAACATGTACATCATCACCCAATGTCCTAAAGACACCTAATTGTAGATACCTGGCCGTTTGAATTCTTGGTTCTTTCTATGTCGAACATGGCGCTTACTAGTCCCCTCAAATCACAGGTTTTGAATCCAACTTGAGAAATCCGAGCTGGATACGGGATCCATGTATAGAGCAACGAATGTGAAGCGAGGATCCATCGAGCAGCAGGTCATGAAACTTTTAAAGAAAGTAATTTATAGCAAACTGGTTTCATTTTGATTAGCGAAGATGAAGTTGCTGTGAATTCCAAAATTCACCGCAAATACTTGAATTTTTTTCATTTTTTCAACTCGTTCTACAGATGTGCTATATAAATTGTCATATATGTACAATCGAGAGTTCAAATAATCTTATTACCTCTTGAAATTTCCCAACATTTCTGGATTCCTAAGGTTTTTAAAAGAGAGCCTACAAAGATATTTGTAAATATGTCAAATATCACATGCCAATATTCACACCTTCTTTTGGTAACTCGCAAGGCTAGATAACAAAACCTTCGGGATAATATGTTTAAATGTTTTACCCTAAGATTTATTACGCAATTTTTTTTATATATCAGAATATTGTGATCCAATTGGAATCATTAAGTTTGAAGAACTTTGATCAATGTTTTTTTTGGTGTAAACATCATTATTAATCCGATCAATAGAGTAGTGTATCATTAAATTTAATATATATAAAAAAGTAACTAGTATATTTTATTTAGTTTTGTGCATATCAATTAAAATTTATGTAAAAAAATTTTAAATTTTATTAAAAAAATTTCATCTTTAATTAATTAAAATTAAAATAGAAGTTATTCAAAATTCAATAGAAAGATGCTAGTGAAATATCCGCGATACCATGTTAGTAATTGTGTTAATAATGAACGACACGTCATCAATCTGTATATTTGTTAAACAAGAATGGAGTATATTAGTTGAAAATGGTAAAGTAGCAATCTATTTGCTGATTAGGTGTATCTATCATGTCACAAATTCACTAAGAGTACATTAGATGGTGAGAATAAAATTTTATCTCATTAAATTTGTTAATAAAATTTTATTACAAAATAAATATTATCATCTTCAAGTGATTTTTTCCCTAAATTTTAATGTTATAATAACTTTTTTCGTATGTAATGGTTTGTTTCAATATTTAAATGAATCTTCCATGGATGATTATAATGAATTTAAGAAAGATTATGTTATGGACATTGATGTATAGAGACGTCATTGATTTCCAAATTATTTATCTTTCACCAAAGATGGTGTTGATATCAACAGTATTGTTATCAATGAAGGTGCAAGCAGTAGCACTAGTGGCCGTATAAGGAGTGGTATGAGTGAAAGTAATGTTGGTGAAGATACTAGAAATGGTATTAGTGACGGTACAGGTTAAGAAGTTGGTGGGGTACAAGAAGCGGTACCAGTGGACATACTGGTGGTGCAGCTAGTGGAGACACTATATAACACTAGGTTCAGAGAAAGGTTCACTCGAAGATGGAAACATGATCTGAAGATGAAAAAGACCAACAATGGTTCTCCTTTCCGTTATATAGCTCTCACCAACAAATATAAGGAGACAAAATCTTATTTCCATCATCCCACTCCTTGTGGATCGATGACGTGACGGATAACCCTAACAGCCACACGGATTGCTGACGTGATGCCTCCAACTAAGACACTAACTAATATATTCTATAGTTACCTAAAAAGCACACGAATCGCTAATGTAACACTATCAACTAACACACATATTCTTTAACTACCAAGCGTGCGAATCGCTGACGTGACAATTATGACTAATGCACGTTAAAGTATCTATATCAATATTTAGAATAACTTTTACTTTAGTTTTAACTAACTAAAGATGGTTACACACTAGCAGCACTACTAGTAGTATTGTTGTTGGCAATTTGAATGAAGTCGTTGTTGATGTGTCTTCATTTAGTCAAGTTGCGGAGTTCTTCAAGAGGTTGAAGAAGAAACATTAAGGGGTGAAGACTGAGAAGCTTGAACGAAAAATTTATGAAAATCTTTGAGAGTCATACATTTGCATGCAACGCTTGATCTCAGTTACTCATAATGTGACAGAGACAAAGACAGTTCAATATTGGTACCAAATTTTGGACAGAAAGTTGTTGAAGAGAATATGTGATGGTCCTGTTATGACCAATGCGTCACCCACATTAGTCTATGTGTTTGCTCTTTTTGAGAAGATTGAATTTAACATAGTGGAGGAGAGTATGGTGACGTCTTTGTTTAGTAAAGACACGACCATTACTTCTTGTATCTAGCTAAGCAGCGTACAGTCTTGTTCCACCGGTGATAATAGTAGTAGGAGTCGTGGAGTTCAGACACGACATCAGTCTGGTCACAAATAGACGAATGCAAGTGCACAATTGCTTTCATTTTTTGGTCAAAGTAGTAACCAGCATGTTGGACATCAGGAGATGGTCATATTAGAAAAGATTCTCCCCAAGAATACAAAGGATGAAGTCTTTAAGCTAAAGCTAAATCTACATAAGATAACACATATTTTTATTTGTAAAAAAATTTGAAAATCTAACACCATACCACTATGATATCGTGAAGTTTTCACTATCAAACTCGAATGCAATTGGATATGTTGCAAATAATACAAGTTTTTGAAGTAAGTCTCTAAACTGTGATGCATCACAAATTTTGATAATGAAGTTCACATCATAGAACTGCATAAAGAATTTCAACTCAAATATTTTGAAAATCAAAAGGTTCGAATGTAACAAGTACTATCCCTGCACTTTGATTGCTATACCCTACATGACTATCCACTAATTGGGCATATGGCGTTATCAGTTATTTACACTATCACAAAAGTATATGTAACATGCTTTGAAAGTTTAAATGATATGCTCAAGCTTTGACGTTATGTTCAATTTTTTTTTGGTGGTACTTTATGAGTTTTTTTTCTTGTAAAGCTGGCTTTATGATTTGGAATCTTTTACCACGCAAAGTGTATGAGTTTCTTCATAAATCCATCAGTTCTACCAAACTAGAGATCGAGAATTCTCCACTACAATGGAAAACTTGTCGTCCATTCACGTGGACTGTTCCCGCTGCTTGTACACCAACAATACAACATGTATTTGTACAATGAGAAATGATATATAACTAAGACAAGTTGAAAAACGAGGAGACGCATGGAATAAAGGCGCAATGCATCCACGTCGACAAACGTACTAAGCCAAAGCGTGCAAGAATCACTGGGAGACAGGGCTAATTTCCTGAGTAATAAATCCTCTATCTCCAATGATACTTATGATGTATTCTACATGCATATCCTGAGTACAAATGATAAGAGGAATTCTTATCATCAAACAAGAGTCATCACACTTTGTAGATTATCCTTCTCTCAATGGGAGAGACTAAAGCAACGTGTAATGATACCATATTCTCTGTCTAAATGACTACTGGACGCAAGTATGACCATTCATATGCTATACGGCAGTTCGTGGATGTCATTGTCCGATGTCCATCAGGCCGATGTACCGTACGATAACATTCGCGTTCAAGTCCCTTTTCGCTCTTCATTAATCGGAGTCCGTCCTGTAATCCGTCGCTCAGGGCTTTAGTACCAACAAAACCGTGACAAAATTATACTCTGCGTACACCACAGTGACCACAAGGATGGCCCAGATCAAATGCTCAGCCACGTCAGAAAGCATTGCCGTAGTTGCGTGCGGTGAAGGAAAGAGGAAATTAAACGACTGCACTCCGAAAGCTGGACGGTATCCTCTTGACATCGACACATGAGTGATTCATACTTGCAGTCATTACAACTGATCCGTCTCTCAAGTAGAACAAGTCTTACAGGATCATATAAGATTGTACACCGTTCACATTAATCGGATTGGACACTGATTAGTGTGTGAGCTAAGTTAATGCGGTCCAGGCTAAAGGTATTAAAAAAAATCGTTGAGGCATGAATATATATGACCGGTCAAATTATTCTGTTCATTCATAAAACCTAGGCAGAATTATGTTTAGCCTTTTTCTCACGCAAATCGGTGTTTGATTCTCCCGTCCAATATTAAAGGTAATTTCTGATGTAAAAGACATGAGACTGGTGCAACCCTCCACTCTTTTTCTTGTGTATGTGCATTCGCTGTGATCCGCGACCATTCTATCTACATGAAATTGGTTTAATGCACACCATTACCACATATTAGAGTGGACTAGACGGGTGAAGGTATACAACACTGAAAAGACATCATAAATTAGTTACACCTCAAGCTTGTCTCTAGCTGAGCTTTAAAGACCGATCACGAGGTGAAATCTACGATCAAGCAATCTTGTGGAAAGAGGTTCGATGCCACTTTCTTGTCTAAAAACATGTAATTTTGAAGCAACGTCCTTGCCGAGATTTCGACTCGCAGTCGCGTGTAGTATGAAAGGTGTGCTGAATGCAGAATGACAACCAACAATGAGGAGCAGGGCGGAAAATTGTACAATCTGAGTACTTAATGTAGTAGTGCTGGTACTGTGTTGGACGGGGTGTACGCATCGGAGAGAGCTTAGGGAGGTAATTTTCCCGCGGAGAGCTCTAAGATTGCAGCTCATGCAGGAGGAGTTGATTCTTCCGAATGTGATATTGAGCCTGTGAATGCTACCTATAGTGACTCAATGCCCGACGGCGTGAAGGGCAGTGAGGAATATTGAACTTTTATAAATGACGGATCATACATCACGTTGAGTCCCAGTTTTGTGCCCCAGGGCTCTACTACGACTGGGTCTACACGCTCGATTATTTAATGTATTTGTCGGAGTGTAAAGATGTTTCAGCTCTCAGAGAGGACGAGCTCTCAGGCCAGAAGCATGGGTTGATGGAGTAGACGAAACTCAATCACGGAGAGATCCAGGGCAGTCTGAATCGTGTGACAAGACACGTTGCCGTGATTCGTAGCTTGTGATACAACCTGCATGGGAGCTTGGGACGACATTCATTTCAAAGGCGGAGCATGCTTTGCATCTCTCTTGCATGCCTATCTCATC